CTCCATCTGCTGTCAAGCGTACCTTTGCAGCCCCCAGCCTGCTCCGCATGCTTGCCCTGGCGGCTTCGTAGTTGATTCCTTCATTGTGATCTTGTAGCTCATAAGTGTTCCTCCCTGGAGTATCTTATACCGATTCGGTTACCAGCGGCGATGTTTGCCCGCCTTAGTTTTATTCTCCACATCCTCCTAGGAGTTATAGTTAGACAGGAGCCCCTCATTTAACAGGCTATCGTCTAGTGTAACCAAATTAGATAGGGTTTAGATCCTATACTTAATCTTATATAGGCTAGTAGTAAAAAATTTATTATATAATTTTTTTATATTAAAATAGAAAGTATTAGTAGAAATAGTAGCAATTTAGAATTTTATAGGTAAGGTAATAGTTAGTAATTAGACTAGGGTAAGTAGCGTAATTAGTTTAGTAGCAGCCCTATAAGTAGCTAGAATTTTAAGTATACCACGTATCCTATTAATTAAACTAGGACTGTTTTAGTTCTAGTTCTCCTCTTAATCCTAAAGGGCGTCTCTTTGCAAGATATTATAGGTAACTAGAGTAGATAGCACTTGCTAGTAGAGTTATACTAGAATAGGAGATACGGGGTTATAGGTTAGAGGATATTTATCTAGCTAGATTAGTTAAGATTTATCTATATTAATTAGGATTTAGAACTATTTTAGCTAGTATTATCTAATAATATAATCCTAAGAACCTAAGTCTACTATTATAAAGGGGTAGTTATAAACCTTTTAGCTACTAACTATTATATAAAGCTAAATATAGTAGGCAACTAGGGAGGTAATCTAATCCTAGAACCCTTTAATAGTAAGCTTATATAGTAGCTTTTAGATAGGTACCCTAAGTGTAGAAGAGATATTATAAGTAATTTTTAAATTAAGAAATAAGTAACCTTAGGCCCTAGTATCTACTAAAGCGTTTAGGCAAAAACTAGATCTATTAAGGTATAGGGTTATATATACAAGTAAATAGGAACTAATAAATAATTTAGTTAAGGAAAGGTTTAATAGGTTATATTAAGTTAGGCCTAGGAAGGAGGATCCTCCTAGGTGTTATTATTTCCTATCTAATAGCTATCTAAATTAGTTAATTTAGTAGTTTCTTCTTCCTTAGAATTCTTAATAATATATTCTATATCTATAGCCTAAATCCTAGGGGGTTTAAGGTAGTTACTAGAGAAGTGCCTAGGCTTTCTATAATTATAGTAAGTTCCTAAGGTTTCCTATTATAGTAGCGCTAGGAGTGGCTAGCGTAGTAGATAGGGGTTAATTATTTTAAGGGGTAGTGCCTTATTATTATAAGTAGTACATATAAGGTTTAGCTATTAAAGGTCTATTATAGGGTTTCTAATTAGCGTCTAAATAGGACTAGTTTCTAGAGTATTAGAAGGGGGTTAGTCCTTTTCTAGATAATAGAGGGGTCTAAGTAGGAGTAGATAAGGTAGGGTATAGGTAGCGTTCTATATTAAAAGTAGTAAGATAATCTACTATAGTCTTAAAATTATTATACTAATTCTATTAGAAAGCAAGGTTTAGTATCCTTAGGGAAGGTGTAATCTTTATCTAGAGGTAGTAATACTACTCTAATTAAGGTACTTCTCCTCTAATAGCAAGACTCTAGAATTATAACTTAAAAGCAGGGAATATCTTTATATTAGTTATATATAGGTAGTTAAATATAGTTTAACTCTTAGCTATCTTATTTCTAGTAATAAAGTAAGTTTAAAGGAGGGTAATTATTTCTTTAGCTTTTTAGAACTAAAGACTTAGGGAATTAAATAGGTAACGTAGCTCTAAGTATTCTCATTGCTATGTCCTAAGTAGTGTCCCTAGACTAACGCTATCTAAGCTCTAGAAGAGAGGTAGTAATTAGTAATTAATCTCCTAGCCTATCCTAAATAGATGCTTACTATTATCTAAAAGTAGGATTAGCACTATTACTAAGTATAGAGATATTTAGTGTCTTTTTAGATTATCTCTTAGCTTTTATAGTATATACTATAGGGTTTAATATAGAAGCTAAAGACTAGCTAGGTTAGGTAGTACTCTATATCTCCTTATAAAGGGAGGTATTATATAACTAATTAGTAAGTTGCTTAACTTATTCCTCTAATCTCTCCTTTTTAGATAGGGTTAATATATATTTATCTTTAAGGGAGGTGTTACTTTAAGATTTCCTAGGAGTATAAGGTACCTTAAGAGATAGATAAGAAGTAGGTCCTTTAAGGAGGGCGTTATTAATTAAGTCTTCCTTATCTAATTTCTTTCTATTAGTAAATAGGCTTTTAAAAGTAGCTAAACTAGATACCTTTCCTTTACCTTTATCTAATATTTTATAGTTAATAAGAATAATAAATCTTTTCTTTTTAGGGGGTTTAGTTATAGGAGGATATTAGCTTTGCCTCTAATTCCTCTAGGCTTTTAGTAGTCTCTAGGTCTCTACCTTAACGCAATCTAACGCGATTTTTCTAAAGGTAATCTAGCACTACCTATAGGTCTAGAAGTCTAAGCCTATAGGCTTTAGTTATTAGAAGTTCTAATAGCTATTCTAACTATAGAGTTATAGGGTTAGATAGCTACTAGAAGTAAATTAGTAGCTTAAAATAATAATAAGTGCAATATTCTTAAATACTATTACTAGCTAGGATAATATTCTTCTTATAATATAATAACTTAGGTAGGTAGGGTATCTAAAAAGTATCCTATATAACTTAAAGGTATATAGGAGTACGCGTCTATATAGAAAAGGATAAGATTCCTACACCTATAGGTCTTGTATAAAAGAATAAGAAGAATATACCTATCCTAACTATAGGCGAGCTATTCTCTATATATATTAGTAAGTCAGGCCTTTATTAGGCCTGACTTAGCATAGAACAATAGGCAGGCAATTCTGCCTTATTATTACATAGAGGAGGTAAGGCTTACTAGTAGGTAGGCTAGTTAGTTAGCCTAGGAGGTTGTAGAAGTTTATAGAAGTTTATAGAAGTTTATAGAAGTTTATAGAAGTTTATAGAAGTTTATAGAAGTTTATAGAAGTTTATAGAAGTTTATAGAAGTTTATAGAAGTTTATAGAAGTTTAGAAAAAATATATAATATACTATAGTAGGGAAAAAGGAGGAGGTTATAAAGGGAGGAGGTTAGGGATGGAGGAGGTTAGGGAGGGAGGAGGTTAAGAAGGGAGGAGGGAGAAGATTAGGGCCTATAGTAGCTAACTCTATATACGCAAAATAGTTTGTAATAGGCTTATATAATAATATAGTTTATTATTATATTATAGTTCTATTACTATACTTATAGTTATAATATAAAATTAAGATCTATTAGTATAATCTATTCTACCCTTAAGGATTTTTACTTAATAGTTAATAGGTATAGTATTATTCTAAAAATAGCTATATTACATTTTAAAGTTATATTATACTAAAAAAATTCCTAGTTTCCCTTAGATACTCTACTAAAGCTACGCTAACCCTTTATATAAGTAGCCTGTAATTAGCCTAGAAGTTTATTTCAAGCGCTAACTATATATTAAGCCTAGAAGTTTGCAGATATTTGCTAGCGCCGCAGGCGTGCATTTAGCGGAGCGTCTGATTCATGAGATAAAGTTTTAACCAGGTAACTACCGTACCATACCGGTACATCCACGCACGGACGGTTCCCAATCCCCCACTCCCGCCACACCCAATCTCCTACACACCAACCAACCAACGCCTTTGCTGCCAAGCTATCACTATCCTCCTCCTTCACCACCTGCCTAGCTATCTTCTAGCCTGCCATCGTCAGCATGACAAGTATGAGCGCTTTCGAATAAGTTGGGAGGCAAATGTCGAGATTCCAACATTCTTTCTCCATGCAGTACCCAAGGCAACTAATTAGATAATCACTTGTCTGGCGAAATGTCACCACTGTCCAATACACTCATCCGCGCTCTTGTGTCTAAAGTGCATACTGCCTGAGGCTCTGGAGCATTTCATATCGGATATGATGTGGATAATGCCACTTCAGAAGTATGGTCTTGGGTATATCATGACTATATACCTAGGTATCACAAAAAGCTAATTCTGCCAAGGAGCACCTAGGGCCCGATTCAAGTGCTCAATTTCAGTCCACAATCTCCTAAAACGACTAGCCATCCAACTCCGTGCGCTAAATCCCTGGATCAATTTGCAAGCTGGCCTGCAGTACACACAAAATTTCAGTCGACCGTTGATCCGCTATTTCCCCTTGATCTGCGGATTTGCACCACTACTAATTCTTGAACTCTGTTGACTCAATGAGGCAGTACTACGCTGTGTTCGAATCTTCATGGACTTGATGGAGGGTGATGGCGAGGGCCTTGGAGACGGGCGAGGTGATCTGCGCGGCTCAATCATCTGTTCAAACCTCCCTGCGAGGTCTTTCACGCGGCTCGACGAACTTTTCCCTTCCTCTCCAACGCCATCCCCATCTCTTGGACTTTCATATGGCACGGATAGCACGCTGCTTCCATCGATATCCGCATTGACAACGCGTAGTTTTGACTTTGGTACAGTGAACATGACCTGCACTACTCTCCGTTCCACCGCCGCTTCCACATCCCAATCGGCTTCGCTAGCCGGTGTACAGGGTCTACCTTCGAACGTCTGTACGCCGAGATGGTCTGGTCCAATCGGTGTACGCGGAGTGGGTAACTGTTGGTCAACATCATCAATGTTGATGAGAAGATTCCCCCGTTCACGCCACTCTCGACGCTGGCGCTCCCTCTTCGCCATGGCTACATCCTCTGGTGCCCCCCAGTCGTCTCCCGCGTTCCGTCGCCATGTCGGGTCTTGTTCATCCTCCAACCAATCTTGCTTACCTCTCCTGTTACGCCAGAAACTAGCGTCTGAGGCTGCACGACGTGGCGGGAGATCAGGAGCCGGGAACGACTTCCTAGCATCAGATGTCACGTTGCCCACAGGAGGGATGCGAGCGTCTTGGTAGGGTTCATGATGGGAAGCGGTTATCGTCAGAGATCTTGTGCGTTCGGCACTAGAGACAGATCTTGTCAACACCCTGCGTACGCTCCCTAACCAGCTGCGACGTCGCTCCCTGGTTGCTGGTCGCGAACTAGTCGAATTATCTACGATGTACGAAGTTCCTGGAGTGGCAGTATTCGCATGACTGCTACTTCCATCGGTATCACGATAGAGATGCGAATATGAGGAAGAGGTTCCAGGTCTAGCTCGCTCGGGGTTGCCGCCCAACAAGGCTTCACCCTCTGCTTGAAGATGTGGGAAAGATGAATGAGCGAGATGCGCTGCCTCATGATCTCCGCAGCCGTTGCTACGAAGACTTGTTAGTGACTGTGTTATCGGATCAAATGGAGAATGTCGCCCAGTTTCGCTTTTCCTGCCTGGTCTGTCACGAGTAGGACTTCCGGTAGGTGTCTTAAAGGGGTTTGCATGAGCTACACTCTTAGTGATAGCTGCAGAATGCACAGACGTGCTTCGCAAGACATCTGCACTCGAAGATGTCCATGACAAGTCAGATTGAGTACTTCTCTCACTCAGGTTCGAGCTCGTTCGTTCTGATGACGACCTATCTGGTGACAATCTCACATCGAGTAGTGGGCTCTGTCGTTCAGGTGTAGTAACCGGATCCTTTGGGGGTTTTGATGAAGTATGCAATGCACTCGTGTGCTCGCTTCTACGTCCTTGGGTGTCTGTGAACAAATTTAAAGCAGCAGTTGTCGACAGGAGTGAAGCCCCCTGACAATGATTTCTTTCCATCATCTCAGCTTGCCTAGGTCGGCCAGTATCCGCATGCGATTGCTCCTCGTCCGGTTCTTCCTCAAGCTCGTCGATTGGGTGAATCTGGCCCGGGCCATGAACTTTTCCCATGGTGTACGCTGGCCTCCCACTGAGACTGCGTCGTAGTCCCCTTGTAGGACTTGGAATTTCGACCAGTAGTCCAGTTCGTTCTGCATCGCCTCCGGTGGCTGCTCGCCAGCCTCGAATTCCTTGGGTTGCGGAAGGGAAATAGTATGAGCCGTTCAGGCCAACCGGGTATTCGGATCCATGAGCTTGATCATGGCGACCATCGAAGCCCGGGGAATAATTTTCAATGGTATATCGCTGTGTCGTGAAACTGAGGTCCTGGAGCTGCTTCTCCCGCACATTGCGATGTCTCTTTAGGCGCCTGATGTACCACATGTAAAATGCAAACAGGCCACAGACCGCAGCTACTCCGATGCCTAAACCAATACCTAGGCCTGCTTTTTGGCCGGGACTAGACAACGGCCCCGACTTGGAAGGTTCCGGATATGACAGATCTATAGGAGGTATGTAATCCTTTGTCCACGTGTTAGAGGTGATGTTGAAGAAATAAGTTTGAGCATTGGATATTGGTGTAGCTCTTTTCCTCCGTTTGCCCGCTGCTGGAATGGAATATCCTCCAGTGATCATGAGTATTTCACCTGGCAGCATGACCGCGCCATGGCCATACAATCCAGACCCTTCGGGAAGACCACTGCCAGACGTGACAGGCACGACCCACTCCCAGTCACCCTCTCCGCCGTACCCATTGGCCACGTTCAAAATGGCAAGCTGAGGATCAGCTGCTGTGTGAATGTCACCGACCCAGCCTCCTATGACGATGATCCTTTGTCCATCTGGCGTCAGAACGGCGGTGTGTCCTGAGCGGGGGTCGACGTTGGTCATGTCTGCACGCATGGCCAAGCCAGTACGGGAGGCGTCCGGCTGCTGCACCCCGATGAATGTCCAACCCTGCTCTGGAAGCGAAAAGAGCGCAATCTGTGACATGTTGATGAAAGCCGTACTAGTATGACCACCCAACAACACAAAATTCTGCTGTTGGGTCTGTGTGCCATCGCTTCGGTTCGAAAAAGTAGGCGAAAGGCCGGTGATACTGAATCCTGCCTCTGGTATGGGTGGCCCGCGACTAGGAGACATGTCTAAATTGTACATAATGGTTGCACTGTCTATCTCGGAAGGCTTTAGGGTGACCATGAGATTGGAGTAAGCAGCGGAAGACTGCCAATCCTCTAGAGTAGCGGACTGATTTGGGCACATTCCGCCGAAGATGTAGGCGCCCATGTTTCCAGCATCGCCTCCTACAATGGAGGAGAAGGCGACGCCAGCACTGAGGTAGTTGGGGCCCATGCTAGATGCAGACAGTGTGCTTCTGATATTAGCTTCTTCCTGTATCCAAGTGCCTGCGCCTTTCTTTTCCAAAGGATCAGGCGTGAAGCTCCAGACCTGCGCTCCCGCAGCGCCCTGCGAGCAGTTGCCAGTGTAGACGGTGAGGTTACCTTGGTTGCCCAAAACGGGGGTGAAAGCGCGTGGAGCCCGGTCGTCGAGAAAGGAGAGTGTCGAATCGAGAGTTGTATATGGGATGTGGGCGACGTTAAGTTGGGATGATAAATCGACTGAGCGTAGCTGGAACTGTGTCGAGGACTCTGGGGATGGTTGGAAGACGTAGAGCAGATTGTCGTATCGAAGGATCCTGGTCGGATTGTAGGGCATCTGGGCTATAGTGACGGGCAACAGGAGGAGCCATTGCGGCCAGACCGCCCGCGGCCATTGGAGCGGAAGCATGGTGAACAGACTGGAAGATGCTGCTGTCAACAATGGCAGGAGGGCCCAGGACCTTTACCGCAAGCGCTGACGGGCAGGCTCCATACAGCGTACTGTGGGTGTTGTCGAGCCAGCCTATACTGAAAGAAAGAGAAGTATCGAGACAGGGTGTGAGTGTGTGTGTATGTAAGAGAGAGTGTATGTGAAAGAGAGTACAGATAGGTGGGTGGGCGGGAATAGGATGACGGCTGTGGATCTAATGCTGGGAGAGTCCACTTTGCGGGCAGGTGGCCAAGTGGATGGATGGCAGATGCTTAGATGTCCAGTTCACGCACGGGGTGGCACACGGTGGCGGGCACATGGACTCAATAAACAGTGTGAGCCCCCAGCCCTCCCGCCAGCCGCTGGGTGCCTACATACCTGGCCCTGGAAGCTTCGGGGGCGCAGGCAGTTTTGGTGGAAAACGGACAGTAGGAAGTCCAATGACGGGCGCCAGACAAGACTGGAGAGCCTGGTCTGGAATGCGGCACAAGGCGAAGAAAGCTGTTGGCAGGCTGAGCCGTAAACACGCGTCGCCCGGAGCAACGCCCGCTCCCCCACAACATGGATGCAGCCGCATTCACATGATGCTGCGAAACAAGGTTTCTGTTATATGTTATAAGGGTAGCATGGACGGAGATGGGATGCGAGATGAATTTTGCACGAGCCCTGGAGAGTGCAGCAAATGAAGGCGTATTGTGCACAAAGGGAGGGAGGAGAGGAAAGAGAGGGGGAGAGAAGGAGAGAAGGAGAAAGAGAGAGGGGCTGGGGCCTTGCGCAGGGCTGGTCCCGGGGCGGGGCAGCACACAGCACGTGCCAAGACAACACCGAACACCGAGTCTGGTGGGGGGGGGACGATGGACCTGGAAGACTGGGAGCGGAGGCGGTGATTCCCAGCAACATTGTTACCTACTTTGTCCGCACCGTCTCTATGGATCTCATCTGCTACTCAGTCCTGTTGTACATACGCAGCCTGGGTGATGCAACTAGCTGCACGGTACCGTACCGGTAGAGCCTAGATAGTGAACCTACATGGCATCTTTGGCATCTCTGCATCTCCAAGCATTTCTAAGCACCTCTAAGCATCTAGACGCTAAACTTCATACCCCCGTTGGCACAGATCACGCTACCCGTCGTCCACCCAGCCTCGGGCAGACACAGCATACCCACCACTCCAGCAACCTCTTCGCTGTACGCTGGTCGGCCTCCGGCATTCCGGGATGCCTCGTAGATCTTCTCTGGGTCGATGCCCTTCCTCGGAGCGGCCAGAGGCGTCGTCTCAATAAAAGGCTTGTTCTGCGCAATAAAGGCCTCATCGTTGCTCCAGTACATGTCCGTCGCCACGGGGCCTGGGTTGATGGCGTTAACCGTGCATCGCTCGGCTAGCTCGCGAGACCATGTGCGCGTCATGCTCTCCAGTGCGGCCTTGGTGCCTCCATAGATGGACTGCCCTTTGTATCCCAGCGACGAGCTGACCGACGACAGATTGATGATGCGACCAGATCGATCGGTGGGCAGATAGGGTAAAGCGGCCTGTACGAGGAGCAGCGGGCCCCGCACGTTGACGTTGTATTGCCTAGCAAAGTCTTCGCAGTCAACCTTATCGACCAAGTTGTTGCCCGACACGCCTGCATTGTTGACGATGATGTCAAGCTGGAATTTGCCCGTCTTTGGGTGTTGGAACTGGTTCTTGGCTACGTCGACGACGTGCCTGGGTCCCTTTTCTGAGCCCATACTGGCCTGCACGCTGACCGCCCTGACCCCGTACTCGGCTTCCAGTTCCAGGGCAAGTTCTTGGGTTGCCTGTGTGGACGAGTCGGACGTGTAGTTGAGCACGAGGTGGCTGCCTTTGCTTGCGAGGTTACGTGCAATCTCAAGGCCGATGCCTACGACTGTGAGTCTGAGGAGGGCTAATGGCAGGCTTGCACATACCCCTTGATGCCCCTGTTACTATGGCCACTCTGCCCTCCAAAGGGCGCTGACTGGCATTGGTGCCGAGATTGGTGGACGCTGTACGTGTGTGAGAGGGTCTGGTTGCCATTGTGTGGGTGGTAGGTGGACTTGTTGTGAACAAGTGTGTGCTGCAGTACTCTAGTTGTGAATGCTGTTTTTATTGTTTTTGTTGATGATTTTTGCTTTTGCTGCCGTGTTTGTGATTATGGTTGTGGTTGTGGTCCAGCTGTGTGTCTAGGGCTCATTGGTGGTGGGTGCATGCTGCAGGCCTCCGTCTCCGTGGCGGGGTCAGAGGGACGGTGTACGGTGGAGAAAGGAGGAGTAGAAGGAAGGCAAGGCAAGTCGGCGGTTCTGCCGCAGCATCGTGCACATTCGCTCGGAGATGGCCCGAACGTGGCAATGCTTTATATACTTGGTCGCAGTCTTTCTCTGTCCAGTCTCCCTGCCAGTGCTTGAGTGTCCAACATCGTTAGCAAGTTGTAGGTAAGTTGTCAGCAAGAGAGTCTGGTGTTGAGCCGTTAGTGGTTGGCCGAAGGAGGGCCACTTGGATCATGCAGGATAATGACTAACTGCTGTGTGTTACTATTGTTTGTATGTACATGTATATGTACATATATAGGATGATGATCCTTCCCCCACCCCCTCTATGATCTCTTCAAGCTCCCAAGCTGAGTGAGACGTGGCATCATCATCGCAGAAGTTTGTCCACTAAGCTGGCACGGAAGACGAGGCATGCGCTGAATATGCTTTTGATAGTGCCTGTTGGAGATTGCTAACAACTCTGCGCTTTTCTTTCTTCTTTTGCTGTCCCACACTCTCAGGCCCTTGCGCTGCTCCCTCACATCCCGCACTGGCGGTACTGACCCTGGCCCTGGCCCTGGCCTGGGGGGCTTGGCCAAGAACATGGAGGGGCATATCGATAAGAAGAGGCAGTAAGCAGTAGTACGGTAGTAGTACAAGTGGGCAGTATACACAGTATTAGTAGGAATGGCACAGGCTGGTGGCAGAATCCCAACCGCTCGTTGTGCATCCGTCCACCCACGACGGCTGTGTTCCGACTTCGGGCACAGTAAGGCTCCTTTATATATATATATATATATATGTATGTGTGTGTGTGTGTGTGTGTGTGTGTGTGTGTGTGTGTTGTGCGTGTGCCTCTCGCTCTGTCATATGTTTCGGCTTCAAGACAGGTGCTAGCAGTACAACGAGAAATGCTGTATGCTGTTGGTACTAGACCTGGCATGCAGTCTGGCCATCCATCAGCCAATCTGCCAGGAGAGCCAGCAAGGGCGAACTCTATGCTTGCAGCTCTCTGCCAACCCAACCCTGGTTCGGGGCAGAGCTGGAGGCGGTGTGGTTCAACGTGCTAAGTGCTAAGCGCGAGAAACCCCGCGCAGAAAAACATCGCTGCATACAAAAGCACACCATCCCGCCCAACTGATATTCTCCTCCCTTCCTCACCCTCACCTTCGCCCTCACCCTCTCACTCTCCTTCTCTACCCACTCCCCCTTCTTCTTTCTCTTCCCATCTCCTAAATCTTCTTCTTCATCAAAGAATCCACCTTATTTGCACAGCTGTTGCCCAGCACACCCACATCCATAATGGTTCACTCTTCAGTTCTTGGTTTCCCCCGCATGGGTGCAGACCGTGAGCTCAAGAAGGCGAACGAGGCATACTGGGCCGACAAGCTCTCACGGGAGGAGCTGCTCAAGGAGGGCAAGCGTCTGCGTCTGGAGCACTGGAAGATCCAAAAGGACGCCGGTGTCGACATCATCCCCAGCAACGACTTTGCTTTTTACGACCACCTCCTCGACCACATTCAGCTCTTCAACGTAAGCATCGATTGCCATCCGTCATAGATTGCCGTAGTGCTAACGTACAAAGGCCATCCCAGAACGCTACTCCAAGCACTCGCTGCACGCTCTCGATGAGTACTTCGCCATGGGCCGTGGCCACCAGAAGGATGGCGTCGATGTCCCCAGTCTGGTACGCCAAGTAAACTCGGCACTTCATGTCCACGACTAACATTTCTACAGGAAATGGTCAAGTGGTTCGACTCCAACTACCACTATGTCAAGCCTACCTTCCAGGACGGTCAGACGTTCAAGCTCTCAGAGAACCCCAAGCCCGTTGCCGAGTTCCTCGAAGCCAAGGAGGCTGGCATTATCACTCGCCCAGTCCTCATCGGTCCTGTCTCCTTCCTCGCTCTCGGCAAGGCCGACCGCGACCAGACTGTCGACCCCATCACACTTCTCGAGAAGCTCCTTCCTGTATACGTGGAGCTCCTTGAAAAATTGAAGGCTGCTGGCGCCGAGAACGTCCAGATCGACGAGCCTGTTCTCGTCTACGATCTGCCCCAAAAGGTCAAGGATGCCTTCAAGCCTGCATACGCGAAGCTCGCTGCCAGCAACTTGCCCAAGCTTGTTCTCGCCACCTACTTTGGAGATGTTGTACACAACTTCGACGTCTTCCCCAGTCTGTCCAACGTCAGCGCTATCCACGTCGACCTTGTCAGGAACCCTGAACAGCTCGAGAGCGTCATCAGCAAGCTCAGCTCCAACCAGGTCCTCTCTGCAGGTGTCGTCGATGGGCGCAACATTTGGAAGACCAATTTCAAGAACGCCATCGAGCTTGTCGAGACTGCCATTCAGAAGCTTGGAAAGGACCGTGTCATCGTGGCCACATCCAGTTCCCTTCTCCACACCCCACACTCCCTCGATAGTGAGAAGAAACTGCCCGAGGAGGTCAAGGACTGGTTCTCCTTTGCTGTCCAGAAGGTCTCCGAGGTGGTCGTCATCGCCAAGGCTGTGACTGACGGCCCTGCTGCCGTCCGGGAGGCGCTCGAGGCCAACGCCAAGTCCATGCAAGCTCGCGCATCATCCGATCGCACCAACAACAAGGCTGTCAAGGACCGTCAAGCTAGCGTAACTCCCGAGCAGCACGAGCGCAAGTCGGCCTTCCCGGAACGTTACGCCCAGCAGAAGAAGCACCTCAGCTTGCCCATGTTCCCTACGACTACCATTGGCTCCTTCCCCCAGACCAAAGAGATCCGTATCTCGCGCAACAAGTACACCAAGGGTGAGATCACTGCTGAGGAATACGAGAAGTTCATCGAAAAGGAGATCGAAGATGTCGTGAAGATTCAGGACGAGCTTGGCCTGGACGTCTACGTTCACGGTGAGCCTGAGCGCAACGACATGGTTCAGTACTTCGGTGAGCGTCTGGACGGATATGTCTTCACTACCAAGGGATGGGTCCAGTCTTACGGTTCCCGTTGTGTTCGCCCTCCGATCATCGTCGGGGACATCTCCCGTCCTGCTCCCATGACGGTCAAGGAGTCCAAATATGCGGCATCCATCTCCAAGAAGCCTATGAAGGGTATGCTTACTGGACCCATCACTTGCTTGAGGTGGTCCTTCCCCCGTGACGACGTTCACCAGTCCGTTCAGGCGCAGCAACTTGCTCTCGCCCTTCGCGATGAGGTTGTTGACCTAGAAGCCGCTGGGATCTACGTCATCCAGGTTGACGAGCCTGCCCTTCGCGAGGGACTTCCACTCCGTGCTGGCAAGGAGCGCGAAAAGTACCTCGCATGGGCCGTGGACTCGTTCAAGCTCGCCTGCGCTGGTGTCCAAGACTCCACTCAAATCCATTCTCACTTCTGTTACTCAGAGTTCCAGGACTTCTTCCATGCCATCGCTGCGCTCGATGCTGATGTTCTCTCGATTGAAAACAGCAAGAGCGACGCCAAGCTTCTCAAGGTGTTTGAGGATAAGGCTTACCCTCGCCACATTGGTCCCGGTGTCTACGACATCCATTCTCCTCGTATTCCCTCGGAGCAGGAGATCAAGGACCGCATCGCCGAGATGCTAACCTACCTCAAGCCTGAGCAGCTTTGGGTCAACCCTGACTGTGGTCTGAAGACCCGTCAGTGGAAAGAGACCAAGGCTGCGCTGACCAACCTTGTCAACGCAGCCAAATTCTACCGCGAGAAGTACTCTTCTTAGATTCTTTTGCCATTCGGCATCTCTTGGGACTGCATTTCATCAATGCAGTCGCTTTGTGTGGCATATCAACATGCTACCATGTAATGTGTGTATGACGTTATTATGATACCCAAAAGTTCAACCTGCATCATGGGTCGTTGGACGAATTAAAAAGGCATGGAGATCTGAAGTGCATGGACGATCTCAACATCGGCGTTCATCCTTTGCAGATCAAGGCTATCTGTGGCGTTTACCTGATTTATATAGAAGCGACATTTGTCGTAGCTCCCAGATGACAGCAACTGTTCAGGATCTGGACAGTCAATCATCTCACCTTGAGCAGAATCTAATCAAATTTGGAGTTTCGAGATCAATATCCTCTGGCCTTTGCTTATGATATGGCCAGCCCTGTGACCACATGCCAAGATGACATACGTGTGCATGGGAGGCCTAATTTGGGTCTGGTAAGCACATCTATTCCATATAATGTACCTGTCTTCTACATTTCGTGTTGTAATAATACTGGCATATTTCCTTGCGATGTTTCCCTACATCTATAAGCCACTAGATGCCGCCCGGGAGGAGATCAGACTGATTACGATTCTCCCGGGGTCTCGCAACGACAATATCAGCATCTCGATTTCACACATACCATTTCGAATTTCCGAAAGAGACTCATCGAGCCGTGCATGTCCCAAAATTTGCTGGAGCAGCCTACAAGCATCCTTACCATCTGGATGGTTAGCTGGGGAGACGCTCGAGGGTAGAACTATATTTCACTGCAACGGTCTGTCGAATGAAACATATCCCACCGAAACTCAAAAAACATCAACGGTACCTTATGCTTCATGGGACCACCCTGATCCTACATTTGCCCAAGCAAAGTACGAAGGAGCCTATCCTGCAAGAAAGACTGATCAGCACCACCCAAAATTTGAAGCGCTTTCGTACACATGGGGCGGAACGCAAGGCACTCGGTACATTCATCTTGTGGATGGGAGCACCCTCAAGGTTGGACAGAACCTATATAATGCGCTGCAGGATCTCCGCATGGCGTTCCAGCCCCGTGTGATCTGGATTGACGCTCTCTCTATCAATCAGGATTGGGAAGAGGAGCGGAACCAACAGGTGAAACGCATGCAGCACATATACTCTCGCGCCAGCCGTGTTGTCGTATGGCTTGGACCTGAGTCGCAGAATTCTACACTTGCACTGCGCACGCTAGAGTACCTTGGACAGCAAGTTGAATATACAAAGTCAAACTTCTGGCTGCCAGCACCGTTCCGCAAGGAGAAGGACTGGTGGCTTCCAGAGCATCGAATCGATTACAGTCCCGAAGTATGGGATGCCATTGTACAACTCGTACAACGCCCATGGTTCGGCCGGCTTTGGATCATGCAGGAGATACAGCTTGCGAATCAGGAAGCGATTGTACAATGCGGCGACGTCGAGATACGCTGGTATCACCTGAGAAGGGCTTTCCTGAAGTTTCGACGCATCACGAGCGGAATACCACAATTTGCTGCCGGCACCTTTGCATTCTACAGGATGCATCATCTCCTTGATCTTGCGTTGAACATGAATGACGGTGGTTTTGAGAGCATCATGACGACATCTCTGAACTGCCAGTGCACCGAACCTCGGGACAGGATCTATGGATTGGTAGGATTGCTTCCTCGGGCCATGGCCAAACTCATTGAACCCAACTATGCTCTTCGCGTGGGAGAGGTATATGCGCAGACTTTGCTCCAAACAATACGTGTCACCAATCGCTGGCTTCCCATGTGTATTGAGAAATCCGGACGGGGTCCTTGCGTGGATGACCTTCCATCCTGGGTTCCCCATTACTCAGACCCCGAGACGTACAGCGCCATCGAAGCTCCATTGGCTTTTGCCAGTTCCTCATCAGCAGCACAAATTACTCACAACCCACCCAACGAGCTCGAGGTGGCTGGTGTATTTTGTAGTGGTATTGCCGAGCTGACGGAGCTCATTCCTAATGAGCCTCGAGTTGCTATACTGATGATCCGCCGTTTCTGGGAGGAGACGCTATCAGCCGGTTCATATCCTACCGGCGAATATACCCTTGATGTGTACGCCTGGACACTGGCTATGGGCAAATTGAAAGAGTGCTGGACTCAGACCGACTTCGATCCTAACCTCGCAGACGCAAAAGCAGTACTAGAAGAGCTTTACAATGGCGATACAGGCCACATGGGTAATTGTGAGAAGTGCTTCAAGCCTTGGGTGCTGCGTACATTCCAGAGGTTGAGTGGGAGAAGACTGTTCCGTACACAGAGTGGTTATATGGGTATCTGCAACAAACATGCGCAGATTGGCGATCAAGTCATAGTCTGTCTAGGCTTATACTTTCCAATTCTTATTCGGCCGGCTCCACATGGGACACATGAACTCATAGGCCGATGTTTCGTTCATGGTATCATGTACGGTGAAGCGATCCTTGGACCCATACCTAAACCTTGGAAGGTCTCGGTTAGTAGAACGACGAGCTTATCTGGTGTTTCGGTTCTGGAACAGAGATTCGTTAATCTGGAAACCGAGGAAAATACGCATTCTGATCCAAGACTAGGGCCGTTACCGGATGAGTGGGAAGAGGTGGAGATGGAGGATGACGTGCAAATGGGTGTATTTTTGCAGCATTATAGGAGAACAGGGACCGAGGAGATCTTCAATTCGGACCCAAGATTGTTTCCAGAAGCGTTGATGGCTCGTGGTGTTAGTCTGGAGACTTTCACCTTGACATGAGGCTAAAGTGACTTTGGACTTCGTATCACATAGTCGTACAGTTGCAGGAGAAACAGTGAAAATCTGCGAGACAGTGACTAAAAGAAGCGAAATTGGTTGAGATGTGTATACTTGGTCCTCAGCAAACGGAACCCCTTGCTATTTTGTCGTGCCTCTCCATGTTACGCGTAACTTACACACTTCACGCCGCCGGAATAGCGCAGAGGCAAGACAACACGAGATTGCGACAACGTTTGCATCAGAGTCATGCTCCGAGAAGAAAATATGGGTTGGCCGTTCTTTTCACTCTCGAACTGTCATAAGACTCCCAATAGTAGACTGCATGAAAGCGAAAATGATCGTCGGCGCTGGTGTGAAGCAAACTTTGGTTGGCCATCTTCCTCCGTGGTCGAACTCCGCCAAAGCGCACAAGTCGAGGCTTGTCGGGTACTAGTATGAGCTTGATTGATCGCTTGATGTTTAGTGGCTATCTTTCCCAACTTAAGAAGGGCATGATGGAAAAAGTCCTACGCCGTCGTTTTGCAGGCGCGATATACAAAGACAGCGTATCTGATACTAGAGTAGTTCCTCACCCAGAGCTTCTTCTATTCTAGATCTAGGTTTCATGTCATTGCTTAGCATATCAACTTTAGTTCGACCTAGTGTTACCTACTACTCGCTTGGCTGGCCTCGGTGCTGACCACGAGAGGGGACACGCATTTGTGAGCTTGTAACTCGTCTATAGCAGAGCATCTTCTTCCCCCGAAGCAGTCGACCATAACATTCCAAGTCACTTAGAGTACAGCGCTGATATCGACATCCCCGACGCCAAAAATGTCAGTAGCGTGGCAAAACTAGCATTACAATACGTTGTCGCTGTTAGTTCAACTCCCAAGGCTGCGGATTCAAACTTAGAACCATGGGCCACGGGTTTCCCATATCAACCAGCTAGATCTCGCGACTTGTGCTACCTCGACCTGCCCGGACTGCCTTCAAAGAAAAACTCCCGTCAAGCTGTCTCAGCAGGATCTCTCTCAAGTCATTTCTACACTCAAAGACGAGTATAAAAAGTGCTGTACTTCTAACATGACCCGTAGAACTGTAAGAACAAGAGACATGACGCAAATGTGGCAACCCTTGTCAAGATATCTATACCAAGCACTCTTGCCATGCTCCCACTACTGTACTCCCTACCACCTTGGCGCCACGCCAGTCGGCGAACCATAAGACTGACTCCACGTCGCCGTGTACTTCTCACTTCCAACAATGGTTTGACTCTTCACATCCGCAAAGGTCACACTTGTGACCATCGAGTCTGTCCCAATCCACGTCGACCATGGCGTCGCCGTCCTAACTCCCTTGACCGGCCCTACACTTACCGCCGTCGTCTCGGGCCAGACACCTGACCAGACCGTAGGACCGGGGATTGTATATTCGGTCACGCATGGTGTGGTTGAAGTTCTGGCCTTTGTAGTCTCGGTCGAGCAGTATACCTGTAGAGTGTAAGCAGTGATGGGATGGAGACCCAGGTATTGGAAAGAAAAGGTAGAGGGGAGAAATGTACATTGTGGACAACTCCTGGGTCGTCATAGCTGTATGCTCCAGGGAAGGATACTCCTTTGGGAAGCTCAACACTACCGTCACCGGTGACTTCAATTTGTACACAGTCTGGGTAGAACTGGGCACCGCGTCTTGGATTGGCTTTGTAGGACACATCGCCTTCGTGAAGGGCGATGATCTCGGCGCGGATCAGATAACTGTTGTATCAGAGTTGGTAGCTGCGCTCCTATGATGGCCAAAAGGTTGTCGAGTCAGAGATTTAGATGGACTCACTATCCAGCTTTGAGGTCTCTCGGTATGCGAGCATTCATGTGCCCGAAATTTCTCGCAATGTCTGATGTTGCAGACCATTTCCCGGGCTGGGGGAACGGATTACTTTGATACTTTCCTGAATGCCAAAGCTTGACAAAGGAGTCCTCGATCGGTGGGTCGGGGGAGATGTAGACGAGTGAAGGTCCTGTTATTGATGTCAAATCTCGTGCTTTGTTTCCATGGAGCATGTACTAGTGTCGCACCATGGTGACTTGACGCAATCACATCATCAGTATCATTTCTAATCTCATGATGCCTACAGCAACTCGTTAGTACATATCTTCGTAGCGCAAACGAGAGTCCCCATATGCGTACCAGTCAAACGTCAAATTGTCGCCAGGTGCAACCTTGATGGTGTCGTGAGCTTGTATGTCGCCTAAGACGTTGCAGCGGAGATCGACGGAGTCTAGGTCCTTCACTGGTCCGTTGTTGTAGCCTCCCTTGCCATTCTGACCGTTGTAGGCTGGTATGCGGATGCCCTTGAACGTGCCCTGATCGACACCGTTGACGAAAACGCCCTGCTCCATGATTAACAACCAGTTCGACCAGATGACTCGAACAACAGACCCAGATAAAGGTATGGGCGCATGCTTGAGTGGCAGCAAGTGACGCAATGAGCGTTGAAGTGCGAACCATATTGACCAAAGATCAACGACCCCAGAGATGGACAGAATGGAAGAGAGAAGTGACCATCGAGATGTTAGGATGCTATATAGTGCAATTCTCCTTTGCGTTTGTTTTTGCGGTAAAACATTGAGACATGCCGTCGGTGCTTGAGCCACTACCGCTATACCCTACTGAATCTCAGATTGTTAATCTAATTTAGACCATGGAACCGGCAATGTATAGCCACGCGAATGGACGACCAGTTCCGGGAACATGGGCTTCTCTTCCGCTTGCGCCCACATTTGCCATCAGGTGTAGTTTCGGTTGCTTGTCAATCCATGTAGTGCATACATCTCCAGATTCATTATAACATTTTTAGAGGGTATACATAGCACTCGATACAACCACATCTCGTTGTGCTTTGGATTAGTAAGCCAGGACCTTTGGAAAAAAAAAAGCAACTAACATACCAATCGGTACATAAAACGACAAAGCCGACTCCCTAATCAATTACAGGCCATTGCATCCATTATATACACATCCTCCGCCTTCCACCCTGTCCACCTTGCTTCCTCTAGACTCCCATCACTTACAAAAGACCAGCAACACCAAGAAGGGCAGCCGCCGCAGCCGCAGCCGAAAAGCCGACAGCATTTGCCGCATCCGCAAAAGTACTGGCAGTCGGGCTAGCTGCACTAGCAGCGCCTGAAGAGGTTCCCGATGGCGTGGGTGTCGCGTTTGCTGGAGTAGGAGCACGGCTTTGGGTAGCCGCGACACTCGCAGCGCTAGCCATGGAGGCAGACTGGGCAGCGAGAAGGGGTTCAGCCGCCTGGCAGAACTGAGTGACCTGGTTCTGAACTGGGGGTTTCTCATTGGAGTCGGGGCAGTTGTTGTAGCAGGTGAGGACATCGGTGTAGACAGTGCACATGCAGACGTAGTCGTTGGGCTTTTGGTTGCAGGCGTCGATGCGGCTCTGGAAGCCGGAGACGCAAGCATCGACGATGCTGGAAATCGTGTTAATTGACGGACGGTTGATCAGACTTGTGTGATTGTAGAAGACGGTGCTGGTGATAAGAGGAGAAGGGAAGAAAGGGATGAGGGAAAGAGGGTGAGCGTTGAACGTACTTTTGAGCCTGGCATTTATCCTGCGCAGCAACCAGACTGGCAGTGGCCGAGAAGGTGAGGGCGATGGCGGTAGAGAAACGCATTTTGATTAGGTATGAAGGAGTCGCGTCGGGTGCGCGTGTTACGGCAGTCTACTACGGATGCGAGGGAGGTGAGCGGACCAAGATGCAAGATGAATGTTGTCAACCAACGAATGGAATCTTAGTCGTATTCAAGTGAGGGTGGTAGAAGATAGTCTCCAAGCGAGTGGATGGAACGCAGATGGTGTTTGATGTTTGGGTTTGTGAAGTTGACAGAACAACCAGGTAGGGTGGAGGAATGCAAAACCAGGAAAAGACGGCCCAAGAAAATCAGCGGAAGCCCAGAGTCTTATAAGACCCGCCGAATTCTGACGCCACCCATTTACACTGTACAATATTAGAGGCAAGGTCCGAGCCTGTTGAGGCCAGTGCAGACTGCAGAACTGACACTGACCCGACGACCCCTGTTGTCGCTATGCTCAGTTCAAAGCTCTACCGTACTAGTCATCAAATGAGACTAGTCGTTCTCGAATTAAGACTTCGTGGAGCACCAACTTGCTCCGTGCTTTATGAGTTGTGCTTCAGCTCTCCCCCTATTCAATAGTAGTAGGTAGCACGGGCTGGTTGCTTGCTGAAGACTGCTTTTTGAGTGGTCACCGGGAGGGGATACCTACTCTCTACTGTGGTGTCCCATGCTGCAAAACCTGCAACGAGTTTTCTGGTAGTTGTCGAGTTGGGCATGCAACTAGTCAGCAGTCGTCCATGCAGTTCAGTGTTCAGGTCATGCAACCAAGTACAAGTGTGTACAGTATCTGTAAGAAAAATGATCCGATTTTGTATAGTATTGTACACTCTCCATTGTACTGAGACAGGATCAAAGCGGGGGGCGGGGGGACGGGGGGACGCGAGAAGAGAAGGACGCTAACTAGGCTAGGTAGGTACAATGTGTTGTCGTCTCTGATTGGGCATCGAGATGACAGCTTCCTTGTGTCCGATCCCGAGCCCTTTACGATTTTGAAGAGAGACACTCGATGATTTATCGGGCTTTTGCCAGCTTACTGTACATCCTATACGAAACCAAACGTACATCTACCACGCCATGTGCCGTACTACAACATGCGTGTACAGTATCTGTATATGCGCTGTTCTCTGCTCGCGGCGGTAAAAAAAAACCCCCCTACCTACTATATATATATATACGTGTGTGTGTGTGTGTGTGTGTATATAGTACCATAAGTATGTACTATATAGTTACAGGACATATCCCATGGACGATGCAGAACAATCCAAACGCTTGGACTGCAAGCTGGTCTCTGTCGTCCGAACACGGTCAATAATCTCGCTTCCCATCCATTGAGTGATTTAGAGTTATTGTACTTACTGCTCACTGCTCAGTCGACTCACATCTTTCTCTTATCCAATCTCCACTCCTATCCCTTGACGCCCAGGTACCGGTAGAGTAATCATCTCCCTCCACTCTCATGCTTCAACTTGAAGAGCTCATCTACTACACACTGCCTTGGAGAGCACTTGATCAACCTCGTGTATCGACATGAACCTCTGTTGTCACAATCTGAATATCGTTCCTTATTCAGCTTCTTGCATAACGCTAGACAGGCGCTCAAAAGCAAGGGCAAGCGCTTCGGTCTTGATTTCTTCACAAAACGCCCTTTGCAGACAAATGCACCATGCCTGGTGATCAACCCCAAACTAGACATGCCGCCACCAAAACGTCCCGGTCAACATGTTCAAAGAGTCTGCCTCGTCGCTCCTTGCCATGCTCCTCAAGCTTTCCCATGTTTTGTACACGAGTATATAGCCGCACCATCTCAACCTTGGCTTGGCGAGCTGTTGCCAAATATTCCTCTTCAAGCCATACGCATCATACCAGCGTCGATTACCCTACTCCTGACCGAAGCCCACGGTTTCCTCCACAGCGATAGTAAGCTTATTGTTGAGCGCTTCATACGTCTTATACGGTGGTAAATCGAGACGATTGAAGCTATACCCAGTGTCAGCTTCGTCTGCCTCTGACAGGCTTTGGAACGCATGGGAAAAGAGAGTGTACGTACCATGTGTGCGACTTGGGCAGTTGATTGGGTTCACCCGCCTTTTCAATCGTAAATCTTCTCGGCCCATCACTACCCTGCAGATCCTTGAATCCATTGACAGGAATACGCGAAGTGCCCGTAGCAAATTGCAAGAGACGCGACTTTTGTTCAGCATCCCAGCTGCGGATACACTTCCAAAAGTTCTGGATAACCTCGTCATTCTCCGTGTAACCACGATAATCCGTATGCTTCTTCCAGTCTTCCACATCGATATCTGCAATGCCACCAATGAGCAGTTCGAGCTCACGTTCGTCAAAGACATTTACTAGATCAGCGGGGATAAGCTCGTGGAACCCAGTGATGAAGGCCTGGAACTGTTCCTCTACACGCTTCTGGATACGCCACTCGGTGATGAGTCTATCGAACATCAGTCACGGGTCCCAAAGACCGCAAAGAGGGCATACATACTCGACGTATTCGTGTTTATTTTCGTTTGTCACCTCAATCTCATCGCCACCCGGCTTCAACTCAATGCTGACAGTCTCACCGAATCGCTCGTCATCGGTAGCAAAAGTCAACTCCAGTGCATCGGTAATGTCGTTATTCCTGAATTTCGTTAGATCACACTTGCATATATGAGTAGTATCAAACTTACAACATCCATTCCAAGTTGCGGTGGAAATCAGCGTCCACGCCCTCCATGTCCTGCAAAGCCACCTTCTTTCTCAAAATCATCTTGTAGAAGGCACCAATGAAGAAGGCGTCCAGAAAACGGCGATGGAAGATAGCGAGGCCGACAACACGACCAATGAATTTGAAGTAATTCAGATGCTCGGGGTTGATGCCTGAGTGGGGATTGATCTGAAGCGTATAGTTGTCATGGGCCGAGTACTCAAACAGACAGTAGAAGGGGTTGAACATTTCGTGAGAAAGCAAGAAGAAGAATTCTCGCGAAAGACCTCCGTAATCCAGGCCGTCTTCGCCATCGAACTTGATCATCAGTCGCTTCTTCAAATCTGCTGCACTTTGGCGCATAATCTCATGATACGAGTCTTCAAAGATATGGGTACGTCTGACCTTGACGTGGCATTGCCCGGACACAATGCGGAGCGCTGGTTGCGATCGGAAGTAGATGAGTTTTCGACGGAAGTCACGCTTGTACTGTGGGACATTCTGGTCCAAAGAAGACGGCAACCTCGGATCGTCCCATGTCGTAGTCTTCGTGTTATGGTCGACAAAGTAGACTCTGGCGGTGTTGGTAAGGCGCATTTCCCATCCTGAGGGTAGGGGACCTAGTTGTGAAACGGGCTGCTGCTGGATGGTACTGCCGTTTGCCGCCTGTCCACCATACATCCTAATATATTGCTGTCTGCGTGGGTCCACCCATGTGGTCGTCCTCGTGTTGTGATCAACAAAGTATGGCCGTCCTTCAGGAGTGTGACGCTGCTCCCAGCCAGAGGGAAGCTCTCCTGTGCCAGCCGTTGTTGCTCCTGTGGCCATCATACTCACTGCGCTCGCAGAGCCAGCCGGTGGCGACGGCTGTCTTTCAGCAAGTGTGGGCGAGTTTGCTCCTGTTCGATCCTCGGGCAACATGCGGTTCTGATGCCTAGTGCGCTCCTGTTGCGTTTGTGCTGCCATGGCGGTGCGTTGATCTGCCTCGTTGAAGCCCGCACCAGGCCTGATCCACGTCGTTTGCCTCGTGTTATGATCGACGTAGTAGGTTCGGCCCAAATGGTCCTCTCGACGTTCCCAGCCCTCTGGTAGCCGTCCTTGAGCATCTTCGAACGCACTATATGCACCATTGCGAGCCGGTGTCGCTCCGCTAGGAGCGGGTCCCGAGGGCGGGCCCGTTGCGGAAGCCTGGCTGAGCCTCTGAGCGCTGGACTGGGCCGAGACGGAGGGTCGTTGCTGGCCAGGATAGACGTCGGGAGGGTGGAGGTTTGTGGTTGAGGCCTGAGGGGTCGAGGTAACAGCGCCTGGGACGGCGCCATTGACAGATAGGTGGGGGGAAGCGGTCGGACGGGTCGCACTTTGCGCGCCTTGGCTGATGGGCGCACTGAGGTTCGTAGACAAGTTCAGAATCAGCTTGCCATGGACGACCATGTTGTCGTTTGACTTTTTGAGGTCGCGCGTGAGCATTTCTGCGAGACGTATTAGCAGATCATGTAGCATTATGCGATGGTGGTGGCGGTATGCGCATACCATCGCCGCCTGCATCCAGATCGATTACGGAACCAATGCGGACATTGATGACGCCCAAGAAGCCCTGGTCCTTCTTCTTGAACTTCTTCTGGTCGAAGATCTGGACTGCCAAAACGCTCTCCTCATTGACTCGCCTGTGGTATGGATTAGCGCTGTGCTGGGATGCGGTCGCTGGGCAGGAAAGGGGTGGAAAGAGGCATGGGGCGACATGACGTACATGTCGAAGCTCTCGTTCCAGTACGGGTTCAGCGTCTTCTTGATGACATTGGTGGTGCGCGTCTGCTCGCCGTTGATGGTGGCCACGGCGAAGGGGTCCGGGAAGCCTGTTATCGAACGAGATTTATGTAAGCGACGGACGGACGGACAGACTATTCGGTGGAGGGGAAGCAGCGAGCAGCACACTGTATACAGCGCCCAGCAGATGGTGGGGGGCGGGGAGGGGGGGGATAAACGTACGGAAGACATCGCGCTTGTAGAGTCCATCGGCGGCAATAACTACAGCTTGGTCAGAACCAACCTCGGGCGTGAAAAGGTGGGGGAGAAGGTAACGAACTGGTGATGCGCAGGTTGGGTTGTCCGGCGGCGTCCATGATGCGCGCTTAGGTGGGTGGGTGCCGCAATGCGGGCAGTGAAGGACACGCAAGTACAGGAACAGTAGCAATAATGACGACGAAGACGATAGCAGAAGCAGCAGCAGCAGCAGCGACAGCAGTAGGAGCAACAGGAAGAGAGGAGGAGGTGGAGGAGGAGGAGGAAGGTGAGGAGTAAGTAAGAGTAAGTAGGAACAGCGGTAGCAAAGGGGCGGAAGGAGGGGGGTGTGGGGAGAAGAAGGAGCAGCAGGAGCAGGAGCAGGAGGAGGCGGAGGCGGAGGAGGGGTGTGGTTTGGAGGAAGGGTGCGCGGTGCGGCTCTCAGAGCTCGCTGCTGCTGTTTGGTAGGAGCGAGAGAAGGGAAGGGGTTGGATCCTCTGCTCTTCTTTGCACCAGAGTTGAAGTTGACGCTGCGGTCGGTCGATGTGACGAGAGAGTGGAGGCTGAGCCGCTGAGCGAGCGCAAAGGCCGTGCACGCCTTCCAAGGTAGAGAGAGAGAGAGAGTAGCAAATGCGGCGGGCAAGGCCAGGTGGGCTCGCCGTCATGCGCCCGAAGAAGATCCGCCCCGCCACAGCCAACGACAGGTATCTAGACTATACATTCTATAACTAGGTATACACTATACCACACATGCATACACACAGATGTATATATATGTGCATAGAGAGAGAGAGAGAGAGAGAGAGAGAGAGAGAGAAAAAGAGTACTCACACCCATCATTCAGTGCACCTACAAAAGTATTACCGTATTAGCCAGAGCGTCTGATCCATGAGATGGATAACTATAGGTTCTGTAGGTATAGCTGATCTTTTGCGACATCATCCAGCCAGGATCGGGTACATGTAAGCCAGAGTGATTCATGATGCTGTCTAGACACTACACACTGTCAAACACGTCGAAACACCTCTTCAAACGTGCAAAGCCTGCCATACCGCTACGCTACCCTTTCAACATGCCTGCTCCACCCAAAAGATGCTGATTGCACCGCCACACTCCACCTACTCACAGTACCTTTTGCTTCCCACCTTCCGCCTCCACCACTCCCTCACCCTCCACCCAGCTGGTTTGCCCATCTGCCTTTCATTGCTTTCTGGCTGCTGTCAAAAGGGCCGGCCCTCGGTCATCGGTCATCGTTCTTCAGAATGCATCAAGGCTGCGCTACATCGAGTGGACCAAGAGCATGCCAGACTAGTCCTTTCTGTCATACTCTAACATTACTGCATGCACAACTTGGAATATAAATGCTTTCCAGGAGACTATCCTTTTGCTATCCTATCAAAAGGCACTGTAGGTAAACAACGTCGCACCCAGCTTACCCCAATACACCAACAGCCTCAACCAGCCTCCTCCCCTGACATGTCGCCATAATCGTCACACTTTGGTATTTCCATCCCCATCCCATCGCTCCCCCATATTTATTTTTTCACCGATGGCCGGGCAGATTCCACTCCTTGCTGCGCACCCTCCCATCAGAATCCTCCTCCTCCTCCTCTTCCTCTTCCTCGTCATCTTCCTCTTCTTCGTGCTCACTTTCCTCACTGCTGCTCTCGTCCGACTCATCGTCGCCGTGTCCGGAGAAGAAACGGTCCAAGCGGCCACCATCCTGGCCCCAAAATTCTAGGCCCTCAGGGTCATGATCGTCCGAAAGATCCAATGCCGGGATATCTTCCATAGCTGGGTTGAGATCATTTCGAAAACGTGCCAGCGAGGATGTAAATCGCTCCAAGACGTACTGGGGGAGAGAGGGTTCTCTAACGGTCGTGCCGTCCGTCGCTCGACGCTCACGACCATCATCACCGCCCAAATCGATAAAAGGAACGTTCTCGGCCCGGATGTCTCCAGTCGGGTTCAGATAGGCATCAAATGATCTACGAAGTCGCTCCACCATTTGCTGTGCTGCATCTGGCATCTGCGGAAACGGAGGTAGGTTGCGTAGTGGTGGGAATGGTGGGAGCGAGGGAAACTGCGGCATTCGAGGTCTTCGCGGCATCTGGAACGGAAAAGAAGGTAATTGTCCGGGTAGCCAAGTTTCTTCTGGTTCATCTGGGGTAAAGTAATACCTGGGAGAACGTAGCGGCGCTTGAGAGGACGGAGAACCTGTGTTGGCTGCAGCCCGAGGCGGTGAGCCGACTTCAGTGTCTGCCTCTAGTAACGCATTGGCGGCTTCTTCGCTCTCGGGGCCGTTGAGAATACGAAGCTCGTTGGTATTGTACGAGTCGCAAGATCCGCATTGGTTACCCAACCAGTGATACTTGACTGAAGACTTGGCCGAACAATCATTGCACTTGACCACCGCCCGAGTGTGTTCGAATTGCTCAGGCATTGGCTGACTCTCAATCGCCTGGGTCAACTTCCGCCATTGCAAATCCATGTTGACGGCACTTTTGGCGCATAACGGACATTTGTAGGCAGTCTGCATGTATAGGCCGTAGCAGCCCTTGTGCAGGTAATGTCCACAGGGCATAGATACGACAGGTATGGACGAGGTGAATAAATAGTCGCCACAGATTGGGCAGTTTGAATCCGTGGCCCGTGGGAGGCATTTGTGGGAGGTGGCGTGAGAGATGGAAATGCAGACATTGCAATTCTACATCAGTGTCAGTGCTTGCTTGTCACATGTCGAAGACGACCATACCTTGCAATGATAGAAGTCTTTCCCCAGGCCCTCCCCTCTTCTGCAAATTCCGCAATCGGGGCAGTGGTAAATCTTCTTCCGGCTATCGTTGTCCCAGAGCTTGCAGATGTCGCAATAGTAGCACGCTGCCGCTATCTCACAGCTTTTGCAGTACTCGGATGCTTCTTGAGGTGTCCCACATGCCATGCACAACATATTCTGCGTCCTCTTGCGGTTCAGGTTATGGTCCTCGACTGCGTCATGGCAATGCCGACACGTGTACCAGTGCTTACATTGGTAACATTGCACCTTCACGTTCCGCTTGTAGTGCTGGCAGCCTAGGACCATCTCTCCTTCTGCCACTTCGTCCTCATCTTCGTCGCCGTGGTCGGCGCTGTGTTGAGTGTTGGGTCGATAGGTTGGATTGCTGTCGCCTTCACGAAGGCTGTACGGATTCTCGGGGTCCACATCAGATGCGGACGAGTATGGCGAGGATGTGTGGATTTCAGAGAAGACGGATGCTCCGCCATCAGTCGGTGTCACGGGGCGGTCGTTTGATACGAAACTGCTTGGAGATGTCGGCCGCATGATGCGGTATCGCTCCGTCATCAGACCATGGATCAAGCGAGCTCGCTCTTGATCACTGACTTGGAGGTCTCTGATTTCGTGGATGCGCGTGCGGAGATGGGCCATGCCATCGTCTGCGGGTAGGGATTCAGACATGACGGCCGTGACGCCCACATGCTGGCCGTCGGATGTTGGCCTTGTTGAGCCGTGGATCGAGGATGTTGCAGGGCCACTCAGGAGCGAAGGGTCCACGTCCACGCGACGAGGCTGATGGGCGGATGTGTACAATGGGTTTGAAGACATATCAACGGGGATGCTTCGTGGTTCCGTGAGCGCTGGATTCGGCAGAACGTCATCGCCCTCTTCTTCATCCACCGCCACATCGCCCGCTCGCCGGCTGAAGGATGAATCGTCTCGAACTTCGTCTATCCAAGCTGATGATCTGGCATCTGTGCTTCCAGACCTTTCGCCATCTTCGGTCGTGGGAGAGGCGGCCTCCCCACCACCGGTCGGATGGTTATCTGGTGATGGCTGGCTTGCGGAGTCGTGACTGTCACATGCTAGAGGTTGCGCGTCGTCATGGCTCGCTTCGGCAGGCCAGACACCAGAAAATCGCCGTGCATGGCGGACCACAGGGTCAATAATAAAAGAAGAGAAGATGCTCATTGGATCATGGTGTATCACAGGGAGTGGAGTGTAGTGAAGAAGAAGAAGGAGTTTCCTCTCGCACGCCGAAACAAGGCCCACGGCGCAGCGGTACCAGAGTACTCCTACCCTCTGTGGCTGGAGCCATCACATGGCTTGTATACGCCACAACTTGCCACTGGGAACTTTGGGATTGAACAACGCTCGCGGACAGAGTGGTACCGTCTACGGCCCGACCGTCACCGTCAATGAGTGGTTGTGGCATGTGCTTGTAAGAGCGGGCTGAGATGCGGCCCACTTTGTCCGCTTTCAGTCTTTAGGTACCTAGGTACCTAGGGTACGGCGGTACGGGTGGCTGGCACTTTGGCACACTTGGAACCTCTCAGGCTCTCACACATCGACCACCGTCATAGTAGTCATAGCTCATGTTCCTTTTACAATCAATCATGCGTATGCTTGCCGAAGTACATGTACCCATACCGACCAAAGACTTGAGGGGATGGCGTCTGCGGCTTGAGTTCCTGTCGCCACTATGACATGCTTTTCAATTAACATCACAACAGTTATCTCATCGAACATGTCTCGGCTACGCTTCTTTTTAAAAGCACATGGGAAACAAAAGTGCTCGATTGAATGTAGCTCGCCTTCACCACGCTGATTTTGCCTCTGACACCGCTCTGGAACATGCACCTGCTGTGTAGGAAATCAATCTAGCAAGCAGAGAAATCATTAAGCAAAGAAGAAGAGCCGTTCTCAAAAGGACGACCTTCAACTAGCTTTAAGTAGTCTGTGCTTGCAACACATGTGAAATCGGGCACTCATTTTTGCCCGAACCATGGTTCAGTCTTCACGCCACGTCCCTCCACTTCGTCACCCTGCGAGTCTTGCACCAGGGTCAATTCCTTTCCTTTAGCCGTTCCTTTAGGGACTTCCCTAGAGCTGGCGGTTCCAGACGAGGAGCTTTGCACCCTGTAGCATATGGTGATATGAATGATAAAAGATGTGAAATGTGCCTAGTCCGAACTCGTCGGTTGCATCGTATACCACCATTGAAAGATTTTCATTCTCTTCGTGTAGGTATACGCAGTCTTCATTAGCGGTCTAGGTACCTGGACAGACAATCATGCTCGCACGGCAAGACGTGACTTTGCTCCTCTGATTCAAGTCAACCGAATATTCTCCTGCTGTCATGGACACCTTCGGCTTCACCTTCCTATCACAGCAACATCATATCCGGTTAAATTACGGTGTAGTGCATGAGGGTGGCAGAAGGCGTCAAGTAGTATGCGTTATGCGGTGTTGTTTCAATGGATGGAGGGCTTCGAATCATCGCGGAGGCTATTGCGACAACCACATTTTGAGATGCTGTAATCAATGCTTTTTGCCATCTCTTGCTCAATGGAGGAATTTTGTTGTTACGCAAGGACTTGACTAAGAGCACAAGGTTAGTTTCCGACTCATGATTTGCGCCGTCACTCACACTATGGATGGAGGAAATTGCGCAGGCTTTCCGGACAACCATGTTTCGACGACTACAATCAACACATTTTGCTGCAAGATACTAATTCCGGTATACTTGCGGGGAGTAAAGACTTTGATCGTGCATGACGTATTGCTGTATTAATCACTACCGGTACTCTGAGTCAGGTAGTGTTCAGAACAGAGATGCAAATCAAGTCTCATGAAACCTATACTTGTCATTTCAGAAGTACTCTTCTTCCAGGGCATTAGATATTTTTGAGCTATTCACATTCCCAAAATTTGTCGATATCACCTTTCCACTAGACTTGAACATGTCGCGTGTGTACTGCAGCCATATCTACAAACTCAATTTAAGAAACCGATCAATGAATATGCGATTATATGTCTTCCATGTAGCCTCTGAATGACCGTTTCAGGGGGGCCGGGGGTAACGTGATCCACCACCGAGCGCCCACCCCCACCGAGCGCCCACCAACACCAAAATCACCAAATTTTTAACACTAAATTTCTTAATAACTATAGCACCTATTAATAACGCGCTTATAGTAATTAAATCCTTAACTCTTAAAGAAGATTTTATATACTTAGAAATAGTAGAAAAGTATAGTTACTTATAGTTAACCTTATCTAAATACTACTAGAAGATTTAGTAGGTATATACTACTACTTTACTAAATAGTTAAATACTTAATACTATATAAGAAAGTAAGCTTATAAAGTATATTAAAAAGCTTTATAAGTAAGGATTACCCCTTATATAGACTATTATTTAAAATTTTATAACTAAAATATTAAGGAATCTAGTAAGTAAAAATTAGGTATAGTACTTTATTAACTACTATAATATTAATCTTATCTTCTATTAGGCTACTAGGCTTAATTATAACTACTTTAAAGCTAATTCTACCTTTAAGTATAGATTATACTTTAAGCTTTTATACTAAAAAATAAAGTAATATAATATTAAGAGTTAGTATATCTATAATATAGATAAGAAGGGGTTTCTTATTAGAGTATTATTAAAAACTAAATATATATTTAATAAAAGTACTTATAAGTAAAGAAAGATTAGAGCTATACTCTAGAATAGTAATAAGGAGTAGATTACTACTATAGCTTATATATATACTAATAGTACTACTCTTACCTTTACCCTTATTTATTAGTCTTAATCTAAAGCTCTATAGGATATCTAGTTATAAGATTTTAACCTATTATAATACTAAGCTTTCTTTATAGGATTACTAAGTAGGTAGATAAGCTATACCCTAGGGGTATCCTAGCTTAAGGAGGTGTTTAATTATAAGATAAAAGCTAAAGCTTATACTTTATACTAGCTCCTTATCTTTAATAGCTATAGATCTTATATAATAATAGAGTTTATTAAGTACTATAATAAATATAAGATCCTACTTATAATATATCCCCCTTATAGCACTTATACCTTTTAGCTACTTAATATTATAGTATTTACTCTCTTTATAGCTTTATATAAAGCTTAACTATCTAGTTTTCTAGATAGCTCCTAAGGGCTTATAAGTATTACTAAAAGGGATTTCTACTAGTTATTTAATACTATATAGAGTAATACCTTTAAGGAAAAGCTAATATTAATAGCTTTTAAAGTAATAGGTATCTTACTACTTAACCCTAATATTATCCTTTTAAGGTTTAAAGTACCTATAAATAATAGTAACTAGCCTTCTTTAAGTTATAGTATAACCTTAATATTAAGTATAAGTAATTAGAGAAAGATAAAGTAGTTACTTTATAATACTATAATTAATATCTATAATAAATAGTTAAAGAAGCTTAGCTAGATAATCTATACTATATTAGTAAGAAATACTCTACTTAACTATAAAAATAAATACCTAAGGGCTACCCTAGCTAATAAGAAGAAGTATAGGAAGTGTAGTAAACCTCTATTATTACCTCCTAATAATAATTATAGTAGTAGTACCTAATATATTTTACTATTAAAGGTAGAGTAAGTATTTAAGCTTTAGAAGTAAAAGAACTTTAAAAAATAGAAGCTATAATACTAAAAAAGTAAGGTAATTAAGCTTTATAAGTATTAGAAGCTTACTAAAGCTTAACTTATAAAGAAGTATTACCTAAATTAAATAATTACTAAAAAGAAGTAAAAAGAGAAAGCTACCTAAAAAGCTACTATATATAATAAGTAGAAAACTACTAAGTAACTAGAAAAGTAACTCTAAAATAATATTAAAATATCCTAAATAGGTAAAAGGTAAATCCTTAAGCCTCCTACTATTATACTAGCTAAGGTAGTTAATAAAGAGCTAGTAGAAGAGGATATAGTAGTAGAGGCAACTTTATAGCGTAGGCGCCTAATTAGACCCCCTAAAAAGCTACTTATAACGTGATCCACCACCAAGCGCCCACCCCTACCAAGCGCCCACTAACACCAAAATCCACCACCCACTAAATAAGGATATTGCGCCACCTACAATAGCTATTATTACAAGATTTCTTAGAGTCGCAATTATTAGATCTATTAGAGTAGATCAAATATTTTAGATTATATAAGCAGCTTTTTAGGGGGTCTAATTAGGCGCCTACGCTGTAAAGTTGCCTCTACCACTATATCCTCTTCTACTAGCTCCTTATTAACTACCTTAGCTAGTATAATAGTAGGAGGCTTAAGGATTTACCTTTTACCTATTTAGGATATTTTAATATTATTTTAGAGTTACTTTTCTAGTTGCTTAGTAGTTTTCTACTTATTACGTGTAGTAGCTTTTTAGGTAGCTTTCTTCTCCTACTCCTTCTTAGTAATTACTTAATTTAGGTAACGCTCCTCTATAAGTTAAGCTTTAGTAAGCTTCTATTACTTATAAAGCTTAATTACCTTACTTTTTTAGTATTATAGCTCCTATTCTTTAAGGTTCTTTTACTCCTAGAGCTTAAATACTTACTCTACCTTTAATAGTAAAATAAATTAGGCACTACTACTATAATTATTATTAGGGGGTAATAATAGAGGTTTACTACACTTCCTACGCTTCTTCTTATTAGCTAGGGTAGCCCTTAGGTATTTATTTTTATAGTTAAGTAGAGTATTTCTTACTAATATAGTATAGATTATCTAGCTAAGCTTCTTTAACTATTTATTATAGATATTAATTATAGTATTATAGAGTAACTACTCTATCTTTCTCTAATTACTTATACTTAATATTAAAGTTATACTATTACTTAAAGAAGGCTAGTTACTATTATTTATAGGTGCTTTAAACCTTAAAAGGATAATATTAGGGTTAAGTAGTAAGATAACTATTACTTTAAAAGCTATTAATATTAGCTTTTCCTTAAAGGTATTACTCTATATAGTATTAAATAACTAGTAGAAATCCCTCTTAGTAATACTTATAAGCCCTTAGGAGCTATCTAGAAAACTAGATAGTTAAGCTTTATATAAAGCTATAAAGGGAGCAAATACTATAATATTAAGTAGCTAAAGGGTATAAGTACTATAAGGGGGATATATTATAAGTAGGATCTTATATTTATTATAGTACTTAATAAACTCTATTATTATATAAGATCTATAGCTATTAAGGATAAGGAGCTAGTATAAAGTATAAGCTTTAGCTTTTATCTTATAATTAAACACCTCCTTAAGCTAGGATACCCCTAGGGTGTAGCTTATCTACCTACTTAGTAATCCTATAAAGAAAGCTTAGTATTATAATAGGTTAAAATCTTATAACTAGGTATCCTATAAAGCTCTAGATTAAGACTAATAAATAAGGGTAGAGGTAAGAGTAGTACTATTAGCGTATATATAAGCTATAGTAGTAATCTACTCCCTATTACTATCCTAAAGTATAGCTCTAATCTTTCTCTACTTATAAGCGCTCTTATTAAATATATATTTAGTTTTTAATAGTACTCTAATAAGAAAACCCTTCTTATTTATATTATAGATATACTAACTCTTAATATTATATTACTCTATTTTTTAGTATAAAAGCTTAAAGTATAATCTATACTTAAAGGTAGAATTAGCTTTAAAGTAGTTATAATTAAGCCTAGTAGCCTAATAGGAGATAAGATTAATATTATAGTAGTTAATAAAGCGCTATACCTAATTTTTACCTACTAGATTCCCTATTATTTTAGTT